GATAAATACGACTGATAAATGATATGACGACTTGATAAATGATATGAAAACTTGACTACTTGAAAATGACTGAAATGCCTGTATTCTAGTGGTATATAATAAATGAATACTTTGAATACTTGAATAAATGGAATCGTTAAATTTGGATTTTGGGATAAGCGATATAATAGGCACACAAAAGACAAAACACATTTTGAATTATTTGGTTACCTCACTCAAATATTACTTTTGTAATCAATTGGTCAGTTAGAGTAAAGTAATCCTGTTCTTAAATTTCAGAATGAGGGCATTGTTTTAAAAAATTTTTTAAAAAATTACAAATTTTTTATGCCTGGAACCAACATATAGGTCATCTAAAATTTTATTTTGAATTTAATTTTTCTTTAGCAATTCTTGTCTTACTTGCTTTTTTCGTTACAACTAGCTATTGAAGTGTCATGCTACAAAACTGTTTATTATGTTTTAATGCTAAAGGTATTTTACAATGATCATATTTTTAAATTATTTTTCTGTGTCCTTATTGACATATTCCATAACCCACATCCTTTTGGGGGAAATGAATTGACAATATTTGATATTTTTTCTTAATTTAATGCAAGATTGACTAATTGTGTTATCAACACTCCTTTTACTCTGTCCTGTAGTTTCTACAATGTAGTATTAACGTATGTGGGGATTAGTGTCAGACAAATAATTCTTCAACAATTTAGAAAAATTTTAAAAACACTCTATTTAAAATATATAGCTTCATCATTCTATTTGAAATAGATCATTTTAAAATAGTTTACTTCAATTCAAAATAGAATAAAATCATGAAATAATAAAACTTTATAACATTATTACAACTGAAATAATAAATAATCTAATATTTACCTCCTGCTTCTCTAACGCTTTGTATTTCTTCAAAAATATCAAAAGCTTTTATTTAAAAAAAAAAAATTTGTCATGACATTCAAATAGAATCATCATCTCCGTTAAATGCAATCTCTTATTACAATCACGTCATTACAATCTCTTATTAAAACTAATAAGCGATATTTTAATATGATTTGTTAAAATTAATCTAAGTGGAAAGCGGCGATATCTGCTTAAATGGATTTTTAATGATAACTCCCAACATGAAATTGTCATTTATAATTTGCTTATTCCAGTCAAAACATTTATATCATATTGGAGGAAGTAGATAAACTCGTTTTAATTACTAATTTAAAATTTAATGATTTGATATAAATCGAGGAGAAATATTAAAACTCAAGATAATTTTTAAGATAAAAGTTAAATAAAAATTTTAATTTATATGTACGGCAAAAAATGGATACTCAAATCTAACGAAATTTTCCTCGTTTTTGACGAAACCATTTCCCTGTATATACACCAAGCGAATATTTTGTAAAAGTGACGAAATGACAATCCTCACTCTTCAAAAAATGATTTCATCAAAGTAAAGATTATTCCATTTTATTTTTCACTATTCTATTTTTCACTATTCTATTTTATTTTTCTAAAAAAGGCTTGGTTGATCACTCTTTCGTTTACACCGTATTAGGATCAACGTCATCCCACCAACACAAAGTAGGACAGATAGAACAAAGAGAAAAACTGCATCCATGTTCGAAGTGGAATTCAAACTCAGGATCTTCTTTGTATAAGGTTAACTCCTTGACTATTATACACACCGGTCACCTATGTCGGCATTCTAGTTTCGATCATTTATTCTTCATTCTAGTTTCCTTATAATAGTTAACAATCTCACATAATGCCCTGCAATGAGGATCCAAGTTAAGGAAACATTTTTGGCCCATATTTGTGTGTTCACGTTTCCTCACAAATTGCGTGCTTCCGTGACGAAATATTTCTCAAGATAAACAGAATACAGCTCAAGCATTGCGCAGAAGAAATACAAAAGTGAGAATTTCATTTTTAGGAGAGTGTGTATATATTTTTTTCTGCACTGTAATAAGTACTTCTCCCAAGCTGCAGCCAGTGAGAAAATAACTTGGATAAAGAAATAATGAAAGTGAATTTATAATTTAAAAATCAGTCTGAATGAATAATTTAATAACAAAAGTTTCCCTAAGAAATTATACAAATTTTGTTTTAGAGCGGTCTGTCTGACATCTAATTATTCTTATCGATTTAATAATCCTTACCTTTCAGGTAAAAATGTCTGGGCTTTAGTTGAAAAATATGCTTTCAAAAATACAAAAAGTAAAATAATACAGTTTATAATTGCTGAAATTTCATAAAAAAACGTTTGTGGTATAAAATGTTTAAGACCACTACATATTTCTTTTTAGGTAGAAATACAGTATATTAAAAAACAATAATGATTTGATCTTTAAATTAGTTATTCATTTCAGAAAAGTGCTAAATTATTGAAAAACTGATTTTTTTTAAAATTAAAAATGTAAACAAAAATCCCATAATGTTAATTTATATCAAAATTCGAGATCACTTTTAAAAAATCTTCATTGCATTGATGCAGTTTAATCTTCATTGCATCCCCATGCTACAACGCTCTGAAATATCAGATAAAATTACGGAGACTTTAAATTATCAAAATTAAAGACAAAATATGATAGGCATTTAAGAACTTTTTAGGCTACCTTTTAGGAATTTTTTTCTCATTTTTAATCACAATTGATTCAGTATAGAAAAGTATTTGTCTGAATATCAGTCTTTAAAATTCTACTTTCTTTATTTCGCTACGTGCGAAACCTCACTTTAAAAATTTCTGAAAATTTCAAATGGGGCCAATCGAAACTTACTAAACAAATTCTGGTCATAACAAAAAACTAAATTCGCTGTGAAATTCAAATAAGTTTTAGTGAATTATTTCGAATGTCTACTTTAAGCCCCAATTTCACTGTGCTACATGGAGATTCGAGTCCTAGCTCCTCTGGCTACAGCTAATACATAATTTTACCATTCGTGGGAATTTAACAAAATTTATTACTTTAGCTAAAATAGTTGTAATGCAATTTATAATATAAATTTAAACTTATTTTTAAAATAAATCCTAATAAAATCTATACAATTTTAAAAATAATACATTTAGAAGCTTATATCTACGAAAGCATATGGTTTATTCCTTCCAAGTTCCAAATTAGTTACAAAGTTTGTCAGCAAATCACGTTGCAAGTAGGAAAAACTATAAAATAATATTTTTTGTTGTTTGTCAGATCATGGTAAGTAAAACTTTTGCCCCGGTGTTTGCTAGTTTTGTCTTCAGACTATGCCAAGCTGTTGCTGTTTATAGTAGGAATTTTATAAATATCGTATTATGGATTTTTGCTCCTAGCAGTATAATCTTTTAAAGAATTTTGTAACTACTTAGAAACTTTATGAGGATAAATAATTTGGCTCCTAAGCTGAACGAGCAAAAAACAATACACTCCTCACTCCTTTTGTTATTCTTTATTTGAATTTTAAATTAATGGTAATTACTGGAATCTACCATAAGAAGAGTTATGATTGAATTCCATCATAAATGTTAATCACAAGTCACGGATTTACCAGATTATTACGATGGTAAATTTTTAAAAGCATAATGAGTTTAAAAACAATTCAGTGGCAATCCGTTGTGAACCGAGGGAAGGTCCAATGGAATGAATGTCACGATGATGCCAGCATTGCGCACATGCCGCTTTTACTTCCAAGGCAAGCTGGTACCCATTGATCAGAGGCTGATTGGGCTTCAAGTCCTTGTTGGGAGTAGAGCCCAAATTGTACTCCCTGAAACTGTACTCCTTTTGAAGAACTGTACAAGAGTTCTTCAAAATGACATTTTAACTCCTTAACTACTGAGTAATAGTGGCATGAATATTGAGTTTGCAGTTGAATTATCTAAGAAATTACATCAGGCAAGCAATAATACAGAAATAAATAAGGCATATTGTCCGGTAGAATAAGTATTTATTTATTTTTACAATAAGTTTTTATCTTGCATTTAGCACACTTTTAAACATTATATAATCTATGACAAAACAATTCAATGGAATTTTAATTTTTTTTAGTTAACATGAGAAAAGTACTTCTTTAAGAGTTCATTCAAATGGTACTTCTTTAATACTTTTTCAAAGCAATTCTGAAAAAAAAATCAATATACATTAAAAAGGAATAAAAATAAAGAAAATTTACAAGAAAAATAAGAAATGTCAGAGAAATATTTGTCAGTAGTAACAACAGTAAGATTTGATATAGGAAGTGTTCAGTTCCGACTATCAGTTAACCTTTCAATGAACCTGCATCGGGAATGTCCCATTAAAACATGCTGTTTTCATCTACTAGCAGAAATAAATATTTACTCATTACACCAAGAACATAACAAATGGGTGAGAAGAGGCATTTGTTTACTCTTATAAGTGCGTCACGATTAATTTAGTAGCATTTAATTTAGTTGCATGTAGAAAAAAATCTGAACTACTAAAAATTTTTTAAAAGAAAATATACTAATATACTATCAAAATACTAACTGTAGATGAAGCAGAAAACTTACCTTTAATGACTTGAATGATGTACTTGATAAAAAATTTCATTGGCTTCAAAAAAAAATTATATAGAGTTAAGTATGGATAAATAGTCGACATCTTTAGATATAGATGCCATCTATAAGACTTGTCAACGGCGTGATATCAACCGAACTTATCGTCAGTCATCGAAATGAATAAATGATCAGACATTAAAAAAGTTTGAGTTTTCCCTTTTTTAAGTATTGATTTGAACTTATAAATACCTCTTATGTGCAGTTTTTTTCTTACTTCAAGTTTCACAAGGATTTGTAAATAAATAAAAGCTTAAAGTAAGTGAAGTACGTAGTTGAGATAAATACCAAAATTGAAACTGACTAATTTTCCCCTCTAAGGAAAAGATAAGACAAACTGAATTGTGAAATATCATACATGACAACAGAACAGAACATAAAATGAACATAATGAAGTAATAGTTATGGTGACAGTTTTCAGTAAGTGAGGGTAATGGTGATCAGGGGTGCAAAAATCCCCACTCCGGAAAAGAGGAGCTTGTAGTTATATTAAATTTGTGCACAAGCAATTACTTTAACGGTAATGACGTTTAACTGCTTAAAAATCCAGTTTCTTGAACAAGCATTTCTGGTAAATACTTTCTTTTTCTTCCAAAACTCACTCGATTGTTATTCGACTTTCAGGTATCAATAGGGCAGATTTGTTGGCCACTCTTTCAGGGGCACCATATTAGGAAGGCCAACGTTGTTCCCACAGTAAGGACAGCGCAATGAAAGAACATCCATGACTTGTTTGGTATTCGAATCCTTGACTTATCTGATCTAAGGTAAGCTCTCTGACTTCTTCATAGTCCGGTCGGCTTTCCGGTAAATTTAATTCTGTGATCGTTCATCACATCAACTGTCTTTAAACAAATGATAACTTTTCCTTCACTGTTCTACCTTCCATTTAATAAATTAAAAAAGTTATATTTCTGTTTTTTCAAAATGACTAAATTTCTTAATGATAAGAATTTTTAAAACAAAAATATGAAAAATAATTGTGTACTTACTAATGCAGGTTTATTCATCTGCAAAGAAAAGATAGATAAATAAATAAAACACAAAAAATGCCGCTATTTGAAAGAAATCACAAAGTTTTTTTGAGGCTTAGTTAATGTTATGGCTAAAATGTAGAAATCTATATGATGAAATAGGTTTCTGTGTATAAATTGTGCATAAAAATATTTTCTGACAATAAATGAGCAAAAAATATTTTCGATATTTTAAATAAAGATAATCAAGAAACTCTTAAATATAACTAACAATTTTTAATATAACTTCTAGACCTCATTTGTGTTCAAAATGCTTATAGTTTTTGAAAAAAAGACATATTTTAAGTTTTGTAATTAATTGAATGTGGGTATTTTATTTGAATTTTAATTTTTTTTCTTTTTTTATGAAACTTGGCACACTAAAAAAAATTCAAAACGACAAGAATTAACTGTGTTTCCGGTCCTATGGGAACACTAAAAAGCAAGGTTATTTCCACTGAAGAGCTTTGGTAACAACTTTTTAGTAAAATTAGATATAAGATAAGTTTTCTTACCATGATGTTTGGTAGTAAGTGCGGTGAAATTAATTTAATTTTAAGCGAAGTATAATTTTAGCTATGTTTGACAAGACGCAAAAATGTTCATTTTGATAACCTCTATTTTATTTAGGTAGATACTTTATTTACATCGCCCTAGAGCTGCACAATGGGTTATTGGAGACGGTCTGGGAAACCTCCCTGATTATAATCCGAAGAAATGCCATCGCAATTTTGATCCTCTGCAGAGAGGATAGCACTCTTGTTTTGGTAGTTTGAGGATTTGAGAGCGAAGTCGAGCACTTTACGGTAGAACAGCTTAACATTGTTGGTTATTAAGCATTGAATTAATAGCCTTTTATAAAATCACTTGGTTGCTGAATGTATTGTTCATATAAAAACTTAAATATACTTAAGGCTATAATGTAGAATTTTCATTTATTGCAGATTATATCATTTTTGGATTCTTTGAAGGAGAAAATAATTACTACAGAAACAAAATTTAAGCTTATTCATTTTATTGTTTTGCGTGGCAATGTTAACAAATTGACTTATTCTAAGTTAAAGTAGGTGGTTGCTGTTAATATGCGAACAAAACCCCATTTTTCCTTTCTCTCTCTCTCAGGTAAGTTGCGCGAGTTGCGTAAGTTAGTGTAACGACTTCCCGATAGGGGAAATCCGTATAAAGTAGTTGAAGCAGCTGCCTGAGAGGTGGTTCGTTCTTTCTATCACATCATAAGCTATGATGACTGATTAAGATGTATTTTCTTTTGCATAGCACTGTGTGTGCGAGATGTTATTTCCTCAAGTTGCATTTTAATAAACTCTTTATTTGCCGGCATTGCTTCTGTGTTCTTCAACAAAACAACAGTGGTGAAATTCGTTCTACAAATAGTTAGAAAGTGGTATGAGGTACCTAAGAAAAATCCCTTTAAATTTAGTTAGTAAAATAGCAGTCAAACTACGGTTAGCATCTAATAAATAGAAGTTCTGGCACTCAAAATGACGGTAAATTTCACCGGAATTTTATCTGAAATTTTTTTCAGAGAACAGCTTTGTTCAATACTAAAGCAAATAGTGAACTAAAAATAAATTGATTTTGGTGAGGTCTTTACAGTTCTTGGGACCCTTAACTGCTACCTATCTACTTCATACGTAAATCCGGACTTGTGGCCAAAATGTTGCGGGTTGTACAAGAAAATACCATTGTGTTAAATTAAGTAAGGGAAAGGTATCAGGCATAATTATATCCAGATGTCTAATTTATTCTTTCAAAATCAATTTACAAACATGAAAAATTTCCAGAAGTACAAGAAAGCACTCGTAAAAGTGGTGTATTTAAGCTCTTATTCGCTAGTTAAACAGACTCCCAATATTTGCATGTATTTTACTGACTTTCATTAAGGTAAAACTTTATTAAAGAATAAAACAGTCACCTGCCTATTTATAAAATCTGCCAGCATCTATGTCTACGTATGCGTAATATGTAAGGTAATAAGTACATTAACATATGCAAATTTGTCACAAAAACCAGTTGCCAAAATTAAGTGACCCAATCATTGCAACATTACTCTAAATATAATATCAAAATACCAATATATACTTACCACAGAGCGTGCAGGTTTATGTTTTTTTGTGCATTCATCAACCTATGCCATCAATAAAATAAATAATGTTTATGAAACATATAAGCACTAAATCTTTCTTTACTAAAGATGAAATTTTCAGAAATTTCTTTAAAAATTGTTTAACATAAATATGCAATAAAAACTGCATTTTTAAACAATGTGATTTGTAAGAAACTAAGCAACTAGGGAATTCAATTTTTTTTTGTGTACTTAAAAAGAACTTTCAAATGTAAACATTTTTGAATGTAAAGAATTTTGTTATGAGTTTAGTAAGATTCCCTGGTCCCTAGCAAAAAAAATTTTTGTGGCGTTACAAAAAACATCAAAAAAATATAATTATATTATTTTAATTTTAACATAAATTTTAATTTCAAAACCAAGTAAAAATCTAAACTGCTATATTGTTTTAATTTTATCCTGTTTTTATTAATTTATGATTTTCCTTATTATTTTTTTAAAAAAATTATTTACATATATATTTAGCACACATTGCAAAACATAAAACTTGGAAGTCGATTAGGCAAAATGTGTCTTGTTTTATCCTTATGTTTTAATAAAAAAGTAGAGGAAAATACATAATAGAGAAAATTACACATATACTGCAGCTTGGATGCGTGTTTTACCATATATACATGTTTTACCATTTATTATTTTTTTAGTGAGAATTTAACATGCTTTAGTTAATTCTACTTACACTTATTCACTTTATATTTATTGTTTAAATGAAAAAGCACATGATTAAGTTTGTACCTTACTTTAGTTTCAGTGAAAGAAAAGATCATTGAAGTGAAAAAAATATTGAGCACAAGCAGAATTAGTTTGAAATAATTCAGAAAAAGTTTAATGTTAGGCATTTAATATTTTATATGTTTTTCATTATGATAATTTATTTTAAAATATGTTCATAAGTTTTAAAAATTATTCAACACAACACACATGATTTTACTTTAGTCATTTTATTTCTCAGATTTAAATTAAAATAGTTGTTTTAATATATTTAGAAGGAAAAGCATTGAACCCTCCATTGGTAATGCTAGAACTTTATTTTATTATTTTGAGTAAATGAATGTTAAAATATCAAAAAGGATTAACTTTACTTTATGGTAAATAGACGGGTCCTTGCAGGCCATTTCTTGATAAATTTGAAATGATCCCATGGCCTTCGGCTGTATTTTTCTAAAGCAGTTTCTCCAATTAGCATTAAACTAGAAAAAAGGAGGCAAAATATCATGGTAAAATCAAACAATGAAAAAATGCATCGAAATAATTGTCACTAAAATAAATTTGACTCTTTCCATATAAATATTGCAAAATATGCATTCAAAATGTTAGGGGGACCGTAAGGTAATTTCGTTTTTGCACTGTAAATGTTCGTTAGTCATAATAACCAATACACTTTTTTCGATCCGTTTCGATTCATTTTTGATCCGTCAATGAAAGGTTACCAGGGTGAATGCGTTATTGATTAAAAATAAAATCTTGATAACATATATCAAATGAGCCAAAGCGACATTACTTTCTGGTCCCCCTTATATTTATTTTCAAAAGGCAGTGAAATGACGCTTACGAAGTATTTCTTCTTAGTTTAATAATGTGTTCCGGTTACTTTTCCATGCGTGATTAATTGTTAAAAATCTAATAAACTTCAACAGCCATGTAAACTTTAATAATTATTAAACTTTCAAAATTATGAAAAATAAATATAACGTAAGGTATTTAGCTATTTACATAAGCTTATCAATAAGCTTTGAACGTTCGACAATTTGTGTAATACATTTTTTATATATAAATTGTAAAAACTTATGCAATCGCTTTAAACATTTTTAATAGGGTCTTCACTACTGTAGATTAAATAGAAGTAAATTAAAATATTTTAAATTACATCCTATGTGAAAATGCGAATGTTTTGTTTCATGTAAAACGTATAGAATGCTGAAATATTTTACATTTACAATTTACTGAATTACTAATTGACGTTAGTTTCTTTATTCATTCCCCATATTAACTATTTACAATGTACTATGTTTTAATATTAACTAATATTTGCCCAACTTTTTTTTGTAAGTGACCACAACATACTTGTTATTTTATTCCTTTGCTCGCATACAAAGTTTATATTTAGTGATCATATTGTTCGGAATGACGTTTCTTCTTGGTTCAATATGAATAATCTACAGAATAATCTACAGGATAATTTGTCCCAGGATTATTGGGACAAACTTTAAGGGGAGGTAGGGGGAGGGATCACAACAATTCAACAACCCTTGTTCAGAAAAGTCTTTGTCCACCGCTATCTTTTGTTGTTCACAAGCTGAATTTTGGGTGGTAGACCGACTCCTTAGCCCCTACGTTCTCCGGATTTAAACAGCATGGATTTCTTTTTTGTTGGGGGTGCACTGAAATGTTTCGCTCATGAAACATCAGTGGATTTGAAAATAGATCTGGTTGCAAAAATCGTCTGTACTGCTGAGGATACATGACAAAATGCAGGCATATTTGAGAGAATCCGTGGCCCATGGGTGTGAAAAATGCATCACTATCAATGGTGGGAATTTTGAACATATTTGTGACATTTTCACGTGTCATCTACCACAGCACAATCTTTGTCATATAATCTTTGACATATAATTTTTCAGACTATCTAAGTCTTGCTTCTCTTTTTCTTCTTATATCTGTCATGATACTTTCCCACGACGGTTTTGATCAAGGGTCGCTATGCTGTTTAGAATCCTTATGATTTCCCTTTACCTCTCCTTTAACTTTGTCCCAATAATCCTGGGATCCCCTAGGATGAACATAAAAAAAACTCCTTTCAAAAAGGAAAAACACAATTACTTACGCTTGAACTTAATTTTTCAAGCACCATTTTGAATTATGGTTAGCATCCAGGAAAATATATATACTTTTAGATAATAATACTAATAGATAATACTATTACATAATAAATACATCTTTCAGATAATATGAAATGGCAAACTTAAGCTTTTACTTACAAATGGTTCATCATATGCCATGCAACGTTGAAGGTCCCGGTCAAGGTTAGTACCGTGCTTTTCTTTAAAAAAATAATCGAGTATTAAAATGATATTACATTTACCAATTTTATTTTAAACATATAAATATTATAATAAAATTTACAAAAAGTTTTATTTTAAGATCTTATTTAAATTTCTGTAATTCACGGAGGACCAAATCTTCACTTTCAGTCCATTTTAAAATATCTTATTCTAAATAAGTGGTTCCCAGCCTATCTTGATCTTTGATTCCAAACTCATTTTGAAAACCCATTTTTAACTTTAATTCCCAACTTCTTTTGATCATTACGATATTTTGATCATTTTTTTAACTAGCCTATTTTGATTTTGTCCCACAGTGGTCTGATTGCAGAGCACAGTAGATCACAGCAGTCAAGCATCTTTGGCTGCAGTCAGTGAGCGGGTGGGTTGCCACTTTGATCAGCTAGTGAAGGATACCATGGTACACATTATCGGTCTGCATTGAACTTTTTTACCGCAATGTGCTCTACATCACGCCCAGATCATCGGGTCAAAGATAAGGAAAGAAGAATAGCTTCCATAGACGTAATGTAAGTCGGTTCTCCAAGGGTTTGCATGACTCCTAAATATAAAATAAAAAGCAACATTTGCGGGTATAGCTCAACCTCTTCTAGTGTTGTGGAGGAAAAGAATTTTTCCTTTCATTCATGATTGGTCTTTTGTTGCATTTGTGGCTAGTCAGTTTAAAAAAAACTTATTTAACAGTATTTTTTTTAGAAAAAAAAACATGAAATTTAATTAGCTTCAAAGTAAGCTTGGATTGAGCATCTGGATCGCCCTTGATACTTTTAATTTATAGCGATTACTTACTTAGAACTTATTTTCATGCCCTCTAGCAATTTGGACCACTTCCGCAAATATTAATAGCTTCGAAGAACAGGTTTCTAAACTTAAAAAGGAAGAAAATTCACTTTGACATTGAGGGTGTTTCGTAATTACCACTCTTAACAAATGCGTCTTACGTCCTTGTGAAACGTGAAAACAAGACAAAAAATGTGTACACATAATTGACAAAAAGGTGAATATTTAACTAGCAATTTAGGACTTCCAATATATACATTCTTAATTTTATTATTAATGAGGATTCTGAAAATACATATTTATAACGGAACTTCCTTTATACTTCATGAAATTTCAAAATTTTTCACTAAATAGAAAGACCAATCTAGTTTATGCTTCAACAATATTATAACAGCGCAAGGATTTAGAAGGAACTTAGGATTGCTTTAAGAAATGACTACGTTAAATAGCTTTGAAAATATATGATTTTAGTGCAAATTAAATCTTAAAATTAATTAATATTTTTCGTTTTTAAAAACTCAAAGAGAAAAAATATAAAATTTTATATATTTTATAAAAGAGAAAAGAACTGAAACTATTATTCAGTTACATTTTGTGTGATTATTTGTGTTATGCGGACGCATCGACATAAAAATAACCTACAGGATTTAGTCTTTTACAAAGCATTTACAAACAAAAAATTAGTACAAAACATTTTCTATGCATTAATGGGTTGAAAATATAAAATTTCTAAATTTGAAAAATTGAATTATTGCTTTGGATTTTTGATTAGCAATAAATGGATATTTTGTAAAAGTATACTATTTATAAACTCACCGCACAACGTTTTTCTCCACAAATTGATATTCCCATATTTTCCTTGGTCCTTTTCAGAAATCACAAGAGTTAATGCAGAAATGAAAATAATAATTCCTATTTTCATCATTTTTGATTCTTTCCTTAAAAGAGACAAGTTTAAAATGCAAGATAAAATATTTTGTTTCAAAAAATTATCTAATTTAATTATAAATAAGAAACTTTTGTATCATACATTTTTTTATAAGCCATAAGTGAGAGTAATATTTAAAATTTATCAAAATCCATTTATATTTCAGACCATCAGCAGTTATTTTCTTTGAGCTTTAGAACATTATTTCGATGAATTATATTTAATATTTTAAAATGAATTCCCACATTTAAATGTCAACTCTTTAGAATAAGTACAAAACTAGTTCAGTTGTTTGAGGAATTTATAAGCCATTGAATTCATAAGCCATATGCGTGAAAATACTTTGCACAAATTAAACTTCCTAAATCTTCTGAAAAAAATTTAAGAGATTTTTAACACGTATGCACAACAGCTGATTATGTAGGCAAAATAAAACCACAGATCAAAATCTTTTCATATTCCTGGTTTATATTCAATTAAAAATTTATATAAAATTTATCTAAGCAAAAAATAAGCATTTGCGTAAATTGTATTTCTTTTTGAATAATTTGTAATATATTCATGTGAAAAATAAAATGTAATATATAAGTCTGCTTTTGTGTTAAATAAATATTCTTTTTCTAATGATACAAACTGTGCATTTCTTTTTTAATTTGAAAAATATTGCATTTAATTCTGAATAAAAAGTAAAACATTAAAAAAAATAGTGCGTGGAGTCCCTCCACGCGGAAGAAGTTAAACTTCGTAACCTGCGACGTTAATTGTAGAAGACTCAGCAGTCGTAGAAGGATCACTAGTTTTATTCAACGACACTTTTTCCTGATCCTCTCGTTTCCGTGCCCTGTAATAACGGTAATATTGTGCATTTTTCCCTCGTGGACCTCTTGAACCAGTGGAAGTGCTTGTGGTTGCCTCATCGTCTCGCCGTGGAAAATGTATTTGTATTAATAATGTATGTGAATGCGTCATAATGTAATTTCGAAAGAGAAAACCTAACAATCAATTGATATTCACAAGAGACGGAACTTAACATAACCTTAAATCAGTCGCATTGTCCGTGGGATTATTTCCACTCATTTTTTACAATTGTTATCCACTAAATTTGAAAATAAAAAATACTATCCTATTAAATTATATGTGTATCAAATCAAACAAAAAAAAATATTTATAGAAAAGCAATACTTTTATGACTTTTATTATTTTTATGCTAGTGAGAACCAAAACAATATGGAAATGAATGAGGGAAAACTGGATCCTACCCCGTGATTTCCCGGCCAATAAAAATGTAGCGTTAAACGTTTAACGCAACCTTGTTGGAAGTCGCATAAGAAGTATAACTTCAAAAACTGCTGCATATACCAACATAAAAACAATATTATTATGACTGGTTAGGATTTAATAAAATTTTTATGTGACGAAACTTAAAAATTTCACTTAATACGGTTATGCAACCAGAATATTATCACGCCATTAGAAGTCACCAAATTTAGGTATTCATGGTTTTATAACCATACAAGTTGTAAATTGTTTCAAATTAGAACAGGCAAAAAATGTTCTTTACAGTAAGCTTTACGGTTAATCGAATGGAAAAACTGCTGCTGATTTTTTTACCATAATTTTAGATGGAAAATAATAATAGTGTATATATTACTTTCAGCTTCAGAACAAAGGCATATTAATAAGTCAATAAACTTCCTACAGTATTGTGTAATTATTCTAATTAGTCTAATTAGAATAATTTGATAATATATATCAAAAAGTACCAAAATTTTGAAATAGCAGCTTATAACAAATCCATACCTCTGGGGGTACTGATCCAGGAGTTCCCTTGTCTTCTGGATTGGTTCAAAAATACAAGGCTACGGAGTTGAACATTAGTAGTCGTAAACCCAAAATTGGGTCGGCTGTTCAACGACAGATATAAGAAATAACAGCTTAGAATATTAGCAGTCGTTTCCTAGCTTCGGCGCTAATTATAGAAAATTAATCTTTGTAATATAGTTAATAAATCTTAGAAATTTTTTCTCGAAATTAATTCAAATAAGAAACTAATTAAAAGCTATAAAAGTAGGTTTTCATCAATAAACTTAATTGGAAACGAAGTTATACGATTTACTATTGAAAAAAAAAAGAATAAAAGGCAATTTTTCATTAAATAATATATACGGGATTTTCCACAGCTATCGACAATTACATTTGTGTTTAGAAATTTATTGAAAATGAAGTATGGAAAGGAAATGTATTAGATTAAAAAAATAATATTTAAACTAAAGAAAAAATGCCTTCTATATCAAACAGATAACTATGGAAAACATTAAGATGAAAGACAGTTTGAGGCAGATTATCTAATAAATCAGTTTGAACTAACATTATGTCATAATTTTGAGGTCTTCTAAATATCTCATTTAAATCATTCGCTGTCCATCAAACATCAAACAGCTTTTGTTTTTTTTAATACCGATATCCAATGTAGTGATTAATCAGAACTCGTTAGACTTTTTCTTATATCTTGCTAGTATATTTGTTTGCTATACTTAGCATGTAAACGTTTTCACTTGAATTTTGACTTGGATTAGAAATATTTATATTAAGGATGGTGACTAAAGAACACTTGGTATATATAACCGGTTGCAAATAAAAAAAATCAAATTTAAGATCTTACCTATTAATTTGTATTATGAAGCAATTAAAAGAACATAAATTTAAAATACAGTAACTCAGCATTTAACTAAAAAAATATGCTTTAAACTAGTTCTCCTTTTTAAATTATTTGGAAGTTTTGTTTCTATAAAATAAGTGGATTTTTGTTTGTTTGTTTTTGTTAGGTTGCAATGCATAGAGAGGTTTTTTGAATGTGATTTATCGTTTGAATATTTAGTGATAAAGACGGTTCTCTTCAAGTAAGGAATCTTTACAAATGCCTCTTAATTGTAAATAAAGGCATAAAGGAAAAACAATAACCTCATTTTTTCCATATTTGTCAATTAACTCTCGTAATTAATGTCTATACGTACAAAAATATAAAAAGTATAGCATTAATATCTGCACTGAGAAGAAAAATGTGGTAAAAATTAATCGAACATGGTAAAATGTACCATGATTTCACCTCTATGAGAATGACAAAAAGCAATATTGTTTTTACCAAAGCGCTTTAGTAATGATTGTGGTAAAATTAACAATAATAAAATGTTTTATATTAAGTGAAAAAATTAGGTAAATCTAGTGAAATTCGTTCAATTCATATTGATACTTTAGAGCATAGATTAAAAACTATTAATTCGGTTAAAATTACTGATCAGTTTTGCATTTTTTAATAAATGCATGGTAATACTAACCATAACTTTAAAAAATAGAATTTCTGGGGAACCGTTACCATATAAAGGGAAAATTTACCAAGCAAATGGCGTAAATACCATATATTTTGGTTTAGTAATCAGCATTATGTTGAGTTTTTTTCCTTCCTTTTCCTAGAACTGTCATCATTATAAAATACGACAATTTTATCAGAATATTTTTCTTCGTATAAACAACAGTCAAATGTAAATCAATATCCACCATGTAAATTAATTCTTATTCACAGAAAGGATTCTTATAGGTTTTTCATATGAATACGAAGTAAATTAAAGATTTATAATAGACAGTGTTTAAAATAAGAAAAATGGTTTGGATTTAATTGAGGAATGAAAATGAAAACGTGAATGTATATAAAGAAAATATATCCAAAAAATATTCTTTTCAGGTTCTTTCAAAGAAGATTTCAATTAGAAGTCTATTCTATGAAATAAAAATGTTATAAAAGTCGGTATTGCACAGATTTTTTAATGAAATGTGGGAAATAACAATAAAATTTGAAAATATGTATCAATATATAAAATAAATTTATCAATAACTCTTTTTTATTACGCTATTAAAAAAACTCGTTTAATTACGTTCTTTTATTACACTAATACCTATTTTAAAAAAAAACATACCTTTAGAATGTTTGAGATTTTTTTCTATAACATCAACTATTTTTCTTGATTGTGTTCACCCTTTTAAATATATACGCAAATGCAAAGCATGAAGTTTCTACCACATGTTTAAGTATGATCCAAAAACGAATCAGAGTTCATAATCAATGTAGAAATCAAAATGTCTCATTGGTTGCCGCAAATAGCATATAAAAAATTACTTTCGTGTGCAAGCATAATCCTTAAATTGAATATTAAGCATAATCCTTAAAAGCAATTTATTTGTAATCATGTTATCATTCTGTTCTGAAATCTAATCTCAGTCATAACCGTAGAAAGGGCCTTTCCTTATTGTTTCATATTAAATGTCTCTTGACATTATTTAGACTGGAGTATATAAGTATAAGAAAATATATTTAGTTCAATGAATTTATTAATTGAAAATTGATACAAAGCGATATGTGAATTGAAATTTAATGGGCGTCCACATCGGGGATTTAAAACTCAATTAAAGAATTGCAAAAGGAGATAAAAATATACGCTTTGCTGATCTCTTAAACTAAAGAATTTATATTCTCCGAATTTAAAAACTATTTGCAAAAATCGTAAGTATGTGTCCATATTGAATAGAGGAAGTTGCGATAGAAACCAAGTTTTCAAAATAATTTTCAATTTCAATTAACCAACATCTGTATAAATATCGTCAGTTTTAATGGATGGGCTTGCAGTGGAAAGTATAGTAATATAATTGTGCCAGTTACTGTAATATAATTGTGCCATCTGTTGATAAAATTTTGAATTACTAATCAAAATCATTGAAAAAGCAAAACTGTCCAAAAAAATGATCCAACCGTACATAAGCATATTTCATGCTTACTTTTTCGTTTAGCAAAAAATGGAAACGGGTAAAGTAATATAAATCCGCTTACCGATATCATGAACTAATAAAGTAATTATTTTAAATCCTATATTAATATAGTTCATTATTTTCGTTTGGAACTACTGAATAATTTTATTTTTTTCTCTTTAATTCTTAAAAATATTTCAACATGTTTTTTCTTATTCTGAATGTTTTTTTAAACCTGAAATAGAGACTTTAAAATTTAAAAAAAATTAATTATTAATAAAAGTTGAATACTCGAAAACTACTAAAATACCTCAGATCTTGGTGAAATAATAAATGCGTAGCTTAAGAAATGAAATTTGGATTTTACGTAAAGTGACATTTTAGGCAAAAAGAAAGAAAGATAAAACACATTTTAAAATTTTGGACCTTTTTCACACAAGTATCACTTTTGTGATCAATGCACCAATAAGAATAAAGGAAATTTGGCTTTAAATTGATTGCGAATAAAGCTAAAGTAAACGAAAAAATCATATAACAACAAATTTTGCCTGGAACGAGCACTTAGTTTATTCTAAATTTTTTATTAAATTTAATTTTTCTTCAACAATTCTTGTCGAACCTTCTTTTTCCATCATGCCCACTAAAGGGAGATAATACAAACCGTTTTATTGTATTCTAATGAGGATGATGCTTCACAATGAAATTTTTTGAATTTTTTTTCTGTGTATATCTATATACTTTAAGAGAAACAGACCTTCAGGGAAATTGTATCAGATAAATTGTTCTAGATCATTACAAACTCGCTATGAAAGCACGTTTTTACTCGCATTTTAAAATAGAAATAAATGAAATAAATATATATATATATATATATATATATTAATATNTATATATATAATGAAATATACTTCATGAAATAAATACAATAATATTATTATGATATTATTTTTATGAACAACCTAATACTTATCTCATTGCTGCTCAAGCGCTCTCTATTTTCTTCTATATTGACATTCTTAAAAACATCAATGTATTTCTCTTTTTTTTAATAAAAGTCCTTGTCATGATAGTTAAAAGAAAAAATCATCTCTGTTAATTGCAATATTTTATTAAAACTCATTAGATACGATATATTAATATGATTTAAATAAATAATCCCAAAAAACTAAAGCGGTAGGATATTACTTGATTTAAAACCTCATTCAATTCAAAATTATTCAAATTGGACAGTCAACATGTTTCAAGCTCTCAAAAACAGGCTTCCATTTTCAAGACTTACCAGACGTGAAAAGAAGAAACTAAAGTGATTTGACACATAAAGCGTAAATTTTCCAAAGAGAAAAGAAAAAATAATGACACGAAACATAACTAGAAATACCGCAGTAGCCGAGAGAGAAAAAATATAAAAATCAGAACAAAAAATCCACAATGGTCGAAAGGGACAAAGCAGAGTAAACTGTATTTTCACACGCTTTGTAAAAGTGGTGAGGAACTAATGCTATTAGCAAGGAAATCAGCCTTCATATGAATAAGGCAAGATTCCAGGGCATCAAGATGATCTGATATGACTGGGGTAAAAATAATTTTGGCATTGAAAATTGGAAGTGCATTTAAAATTGAGAAATTAATCGAACTTTACAATTTTGCAATTTCAGAAATTCATCGACAGTTTTCATCGATAGTAAATGTCAAATAATAAATCCTCCGAATTGAAACTTTTATAATAAAAAATATTAATTATATTGCCGAATTAAAATCTTTCTTTCCGTGGATTTAAAAAAAATATTATTGATTTTATAACTTAAACATAGATTTTTTAGGGCATTTATATTCAAGCAAACGAGATAAAAACAAATACATATTTAAGAGTTTATTTTGATTTCATACAAACTTTTATTCATTTGACAATTTTCAACATAATTTTATATCAAATGGAACAGATTTCAAGAAGTTAGTAGTTTTAATGATATGATTGCTTAACTGAAAAATACTCTTTTGATAGTTCTGGCAAATTGTATTTATTCAACACATTCACAAAACAGTCCTAGAAGAAATACAGATTGCAAAATTATTATTAATGATAAATTTGAAATAAATGATAAAATAAATTAAAAATAAATGGAAAAAGTTTCCGAAAAGCAGAGGTGCTAGTTTCATGTGCGATGAAATCTTTTTTACCAGTGTTGATAGTTTGCGCTTTTTCAACACTATTGAAATCGATTGTGAGCAAGGCCTGGTAAAAAATACCAAAATCTGTTTTGATGGTCTGATTTAATTTGAAGATGTTCCGATTTGTTCGACGTGAATGATTTAGATATGAGATAAAAATCGTATTCGATTTTAATCTCCTCTTTGTTTTTATCGACATTCAAATAGAAGTTGATGCTTTCAATCCTGATTTTCTTAGATGAAATAAGTTAAGTTTTGATAACGTTTTTGCTTTTCCCTTACGTAAATACAACACTTTTCTTTTGATTTCATTTTGACAAGATTTTTAAAAATATATATTAAGGGGGTCATTGTTGAATATCATGCATATCAAGAAATTTGTTGTGATACATAGATCACACATAGTGCAGTTCTAGTTTTGGATTAAATTTATAATAAGAATTGCAATTATTCATAATTGAATGTAATTTTAACTATTGCAATAGAATACACTATTTCTCATCGAACTGCAAACAATTCCTGTTAAAATTATGTGATAAAGTACAGGCACTTTCGGTGCATCAATCGTAATATCGGTTTCAGGATTACAAATTATGTATCCTAAATTTTACAGTAGTATTCATTTAATCAGAGTGATTCATTTATTTTACGGTAAAAATTACGACATCATGGGTGCCGGTACTTTTTATCGTAATCTAATGCGGGATTCTTTACAGTATGCATTACTTGAGCCACGTATGGAAAATGGTTGCATGACAAAATAAATATTTTAAAATCCAAAGAATAACATTATAAAGGTATGCCAGGATTTGAGCTATAGATTGTCAGGGAATATTTTATTAAAATAATGTTGATGTTATTAGATTGCATAGCTTTTACAATTGACAACAAGATTTAGAAACACGCGTTTCGTACGGTTTTCAGAACAACACATGGTCCTATTAACTCTGAAACACCACTTTTGTTTTATTCGTTAAATTATCAAGAGCACCAATTATCTTATTCAAATTGTTACTAATTTATTGTGCATGTTTTTGGTAAAATCACAAAAAAATTATATTTACTTACAGAATCGTGATCCACCTGAAAAGGGAGAAAAATTCAATTATGTAAATGGTGAGAACATATTATTGAAGTAAATAATTTTCTGCCACTTTTGCAATAATCCACACTTTGGTTTTTAAAATCAGAACCGGACAAATATTTGATCAGAGAAGTAACAAAAAAAAAGGAGAACCAGAGAATAAAATAACTAAGATAAATTTATAAAAAGCAACGGTGGTACTCTGGAAAAAAATGCTATATTGAATTACAGTATAAAGCACCGGCTATTGCATCATCCATATATAACATCCATTTTTACTGTCAACTATTATACCGTAATTTTTACAGTAATATTTATTGAATCAGAGTGATTCAGTTATTTTACGGTAAAAATTACACCATCATGGGTGCCGGTACTTTTTACCGTAATTTAATGCGGTATTCTTTACAGTATGCCTTACTTGAGCCACGTATGGAAAATGGTTGTATGACAAATTAAATATTTTAAAATCCAAAGAATAACACTATAAAGATATGCCCAGATTTGAGCTATAGGTTGTTAGGAAATATTTTATTAAAATAATGTTGATGCTATTAGATTGTATAGTTTTTACAATTGACCACAACATGATTTTGAAACACGCGTTTCGTACAGTTTTCAAAACATTGCATGGTCCTCTTAACTCTGAAACTCCACTTTTGCTTTATTCGTTAAAGTGTCAAAAGCGCCAATTATCCTATTCAAAATGTTATTAATTTATTGTGCATATTTTTAGTAAAATCACAAAAAAGTTATATTTACTTACAGAAGAATTTTGATCCTCCTGAAAAGGGAAAAAAATTCAATTATGTAAATGATGAGAACATATTAATGAAGTAAATAATTTTCTGCCATTTTTGCACTTTGGTTTGTAAAATCAAAACCGGACAAATATTTTATCAGAGAAGTAACAAAAAATAGAGCGCGGAGAATAAAATAACTAAGATAAACTTATAAAAAGCAACGGTGGTGCTCTGTAAAAAGTGCCATATCGAATTACGGTATAAAGTACCGGCACTTACATCATCCATATATAACATCCATTTTTACTGTCAAATACTTTACCGTAATTTTTACAGTCATATTTATAGAAACAGAGTGATTCTACAATAATTATTACTGCCACATGCGTGCTCCGGCAATGCGGTATTATTACTGCAATAAAGGATATTAAATTTTACTGCAATAATAAATATTTTTTTACTAAACTGTATTACGGTAAATGCGGTTTTTTTTTGTTCCGGATCATGTTTCGGTAAAAATTGATTTTACGGTAAAAAGTACAGGTACTTTTAATTGTAATTTGAACCGAAATTTTTTACAGTCTACATAACATTAATATTTTCTTTTTCTGCTTAAATTGTATGTTTAAATCTCATTTTTTTTAAATAAAGAAATACAAAATTTTACACACATTTTCGTTGGTCACAAATTATATTTAGAAGTTTTATGCATCAAAAATGTTTTCGAACAGTAACCAATCATTGATGAGATCAATAAAAATCAAAGAAGGTAGATAATAATTTATTTCGATGCATCTTTAAACTTTTTAAGAAGGAATCTTTTCTATCATTCCTAACAAGAAACGAACGCCTTACAGTTTCACTGGACAAATAAACTGTTTACCGATGATTTTAATCCCTTTTTTGCTTTTACCGACATTAGTAATGAACCTTTTTTAAATTTAATTTTTTTTTTAATATTAATTAGCCACCCCAAATTGGCAGATTTTTCTGCTCGAATGTACCAAGTCTTATAGTTAAAATTTATTTGCACGATCGCACATTTTGACTGATTTTTTAGAAATATTAATAGAAACTTTCCCCATAATTGTATCCAGTTATAATATACTTATTTTAAGAGGGGAAAGTTTTCTTCTTCTATTTGGAGAAACCATAGACTTAGCCCAATAGTTTAATTTTTTTCTCAACATTTTAAATATATGTATAAGAAAAATATACATATATACACTTTTAAAAAAGTTCTTAACAAAATATATATACACTTTAATAAAGTTCTATTTTTAAAGTAGTTAAGTACGAATTACACTGTTTGGATTTTTTAGAACCGTAGAACCCTTAAAGTCGGTCACATAATAAGTGTAATGTAATAGTTCTGAAAAAAGCATGTTTTAATAGAATTTCATGTTTTTAATGAAACTTTAATGAGTAATGAAGTCCAAAATCAATGGATATTGGTTTGTATTCGTATTAATATTATAGCATTCTAGAACGAGATTCTTTTATTCTGACTCCATTATGTTCTCTAACGCACAAATTCGCAATAATATTTGTAAGAAAATATTTATAAATCTTTAGAATAAGCTATTTTTATTGATTAATGTTGTGCATATTTATATATTGCATATGTAAATATTGTGCATTTGTAAATATTTATTTTGATTCAGAAATACTATAGTAAATTAATTTTGACTATTTTTTACACAGTTTTTTTTTTTTTTTTTTTTTTTTTTTTTTTTTTTTTTTTTTGATTTTAATCATTTTACAAGTTTATATAAGAGTAAAGGGCCTAAAACTGTTCTGCCTCGTTACATGACAGTTTAGAGTTATGAGTTAAACGTTGCGTGGTTTTAGAACATTATTTTCAAAAAATTATCACGATTCATATCAAGTATACTACGATGAGTCTGCATTCAATGACCATACGTAGTGATTTCTGATAGTAATACGAGTGCAGATTCAAACTTTAAAAAAACCTATGGTCAAAACTACTAGAATATGGAAAAATTTGCGCTGTTTCTGACTCTACGGGAACACCAAAAAGCTCAGTAGTTTTTTTATTTATCAAAATGCTATGGTAATGATTTTGGTAAAATTAATAATACAATAATATTTTATTGCATGCGATGCAATTTTGAAATTTATTAAAATTTTGCAATTTTAACGTGGTAACCATTATTCGGTAAAATTTTAATCTCAATTAATATTTTACTGAATGTGTGGAAATAAGAGCTATAATTCTTAAAACCAGAATTTCCTTTAAGCTGCTACCATATGAACCTAAGCATTACCAAGTGAAAGGCTAATGAGGTGACCCGAGTTCGAATCCCAGCGATGGCTGGTAGATACGAATTCCGCTTCAGCTTGCAAAAACCAAAGTGCTGGAGTGAAACATCCTCAGTGATAAACTGATCATGGGTTTGAGTCCCCTTACCGTCGGGCTAACCGTGGGGGGTTCTCGTGGTCTTCTTTGCCATGTAAGGCAAATGCTGGTTAGTTCCATCAAAAATTATGCTACGAAGGGGAATTTTTCCCAATACTTGATCCAGGAGTTCCCTTGTCTTCTAGATTAGGTTCAAATTGACAAGGCTACGGAGTTGAATACTAGTAGTCGCAAACCAAAAAATTGGGTCGGCTGTTCAGCGACAGTTATAAAATGAAACAAAAATATTCTATATTTTGATTTCATAACCAAAAAATTTTTTTTTATCAGAAATGCGCAGTAATTTTAACATAGTTATGCAGATGTTAGCGAGAGCAGCACACAGAGGAGCTGAGTCACTGGTAAAGTATTTAATTTTCGTTTGACTTATTTATAATTTTTAAGAGATTGCATTTTACTGTTGTAGCTTTAATAATGCATAGAATGAATTTTATACATACCTATTAAAAAATCATTAGTAATGAAGGTCAAAAATTTTGTCAAAAGTAGCTGTAATCAATCCTGATTTTAATGAGACCTGAATTTCTATTGAAATTAGTGGTAAACTAAAACTATTAAGTTCTAAACAAACCTAATAGCAACACTTTAAGTTCAAAACAGCACAAAATATATTTCAGTTGATTTTTTTTGTTCCTCTTTTTATCTTAAAAATATAGTTTTTGAAGTTTCAATACGACAAAGATTTTAAAACAGTTTGAAAGCGTTTATGGAACAGTGAAATTATATAAGTGCGCATAATGACTACTAAAAAGCTTTATTCCAATTCAGAAATGTAATATTTTAAAAATCACAGCTATTTAAAGCAAACAAAGCTTAAAATTTTTCATTTTATAGTCAATTCATTATTAAGTGTTTTTGTATAGTTTGCACTTTTATGATAATTTTATAGTGAGGTATACTATATGTAATTTTAAAGCGTGCAGAATCATAATGTACAAATTTTATGAAACCGTAATCTGGTTTTATGTTGAACCATATCAATCTTTGTAAGACCTCATGGTTTCAAATACACTGAAGAGCCAAAAAAACTGGTATACCTGCTTAATATCGTGTAGGGCCTCCGCGAGCACGCAGAAGTGCCGCAACGCGACGTGGCATGGATTCGATCAATGTGTGAAGTAGTGCTGGAGATAATTGACACCATGGATCCTGCAGGGCTGTCCCTAAACCAGTGGGAGTAAGAGGGGGTGGGGGAGATCTTCTGAACATCACGTTGCAAAGCATTCCAAATATGTTCAATAATCTTCATGTCTGGGGATTTTGGTGGATTTCCGATACTCACGGTATACTCGTGAAATGGTCATACGCGAAAATCCAAATTTCGTTGCTATCTCGGAGATGCTATGTCCCATCTCCCGTGCTCCGACTATAACACCACGTTCAAACTCACTTAAATCTGTATAACCTGGCATTGTAGCAGCAGTAACTGATCTAAGATCTGTGCCAGACACTCGCTGCCGATCACAGCGCTGTAGTTTGATTGTCACCATACCCCTTTATTTGCATACTCATGCCTGTACCAGTTTTTTTTACTCTTCAGCGTATTTCGCACCATGTTATGGCTCTGCAAAAAGATATTATGAGATTGAATTGTGAATTTTTTTTTAGTTTTGCTTATAACAGTTTTTTGCTGAATTTTGCTGAAATTTACTCATGATCTGTTCAAAGAATCAAATTTTTTTCGTGTAAGTCAATCAGAAATGACTATGGTTCAGTGCCTTTTTGAATTAGAATGTCTAACAGCTCTCGTGTTGGTAGCTACTCTTGGCGTATTAGTTAGACAATATCGACTTGTTAGCCATTTATAAATAAAATTCGGTAATAAGAGGAATTTATTTTTATTTTTTAGTATGTCAGTGAACTTAAACTTAACCGTACTTTTATAAAGGTTAAAACTTGAATCTTACCGTAACAGGAGCATCTTCTTGTTTTTCGGCGCATTCGTCCATCTAAAACGCAAAGAGTGAAGTTTATTTTTCATTACAAAAATCATAATCAAATGTCAGAAGCAATCATAGTTTTTTTTTCTCTTAATTTTGTAGACTCGCCACACTGTGAAAAATTTCGTTTCAAGTTACAGTGAAAAGTACCGGCACTTAGGGTGCTGACATTTTTACCATACTAACCATTTTCACCAAAACGTGTTACGGAATATAAAGTCTGATATTCTATGATTTTTACAATAATATTTACCCTAAAACTTCTGAATCACTGTAATTTAATAATTACTATAAAAATTACGGTTTAATATTATATGATAAAATTGGATTTTATGGATAATGCATCTAAAGTGCCCGTACTTGACGTTACGGTTATATAAACTGGAATTAACGTTATGTAATCTGGGATTTTTTACAGTGCAGTTTTTTATTGGGTAATCTGGGAAACACTGCAGGCATACTTGAGATCATTTTTCTTTTTTCGATATTTTTATTTGTTTTTTATTTTTCTCCCCCGTTTTTACGTATTTAGCTTGTGGGGGTGAAGTTATCGACTATGTCAACCTTCATCTATGAAAAGGTACCCCACCATAGAATCTAGTAAACATGTCTTATATATTAGTGAAATGGAATTATATTTTTGTAGTGGTAGATACACTACA